CAGTTGTTGCTTTCTGTTTTATTCCATTTGTGCATTCTTGACACTGGCATGCAAGAAGGGAAAACCAAGGAGAGAGCTAGGAAGCAAAGCAAAGGAAAAGGGAAGAAGATGGAGAGCAAAGGAAAAGCTGGTGCTTGGAAAAGAGGAAGGTAGAATGAGGCCTGAGTGCGGGGTGAAGGGGAGCAAATGGAAAGAAGCAACTGATGAGCAAGAGAAGGCTCTGTGGATTATAGACAGGAGACAATATAATACAGTTGCATCTGTTGTGAATGTCCTTGCTTAGGCTGTTTAGGTAATTGTTGCACAGGAAAGAGAAGGTGTTTTCACAAGATTCCTCCACTATATTAGTGTTGGGCAGAAGCAATTAATCTCTGCCTCTGAGCAACTGTTCCTGCTGCTGCCCTGAATATGCTGAAGGGCTCATCCAGTCACTCCTGCCCTCCCACTCTGTGTGCTGTGGGACTCCTGTGCTCCTAGACAGAGACATTACCTCTCAGTGCAGAGCCAAAGAGAAAGGTTAAGGTCTGTGTTTTACCTGAGCAGCTTGGGGCTCTTCTTCTCACAAGCCTGAGAGCTTGTGCTTGATTGTGAGGGGGAAGGCAGGTAGCTGAGGAACATGTTCATGTTATAACACCTATGTGGGGCTGGGTACAAATCTGAGGGAGCCAAAATTAGCTATGTTAAACCCACACCCCTGTTTATGATGTTTAGAGCTGTGTGCTCTCAGAGTTTATTCTTGTAGTAATGAAGGAATACAAATTGCAGGGGGGAAAAAAAAAAAAACAAACTTAAAGCAACAGAAGTACAGCTAGTGGATGTTCTAGTATTTGTAAAGACTCAGAGCAGCAGCCCTGCTGTAGCTGTGGTAGCTGTCCCCCAACTGGTCACACTTTCAGGTTGGGTGTTACTTCATTTTGGTAGACAGAGAATGATGAGCTGTAGCGAGGAAGAAATGGGCTGCTAATAGCATAGAGAGGTAGAGACAATGTATCTGGCTTTAATACTATTGATAATTTAGTTCAGGGGATGGAGTGTCTCTTCTAAATGGCACTTTTCAGTCTCTCCAGCCTATTCTAAGTGAGATATATGTGCCTTGTGGCCAGAGATGAATTGTGGAGATAGGACCTCTGAATCAATCTTCACTGTGTGGCCTCTTTTCTTTTTCCCCTCCTTTTTTTTCTTTTTCCTTTTTTTTTTTTTTCCCCACCTTTTTTTTCTTTTTAATTTAGGCCAGGAATTGATTAGATGCCTGGCAATGATTACTATCCATTGGCACCTCCCATTGGGAGCATGCTCCAAGGACCAGCCTTCAGCTTTTTCAAGCAAGGGAGGTTAAGCAGGCTGCTTACTGAGAAAAAAGGAATTTCTCTTCCCATGAGAGCCTGAGTGCAGTTTCCCTGGCTGAGAATGCTATAATTCCTTTGCAAGTGACAAGCAGGGCACCACCATCTGCTGGTGAGTGGCTGCAGGATGGTGGATTTGGGGTGAAAATTTGCTCATGGACCAAAGAGGGCAATTAGTGGTTATTAAGCCAAACTCACACATTTCCTATACTAAATTCCATTTTATTTTGGATTTAGAATGTTTTCTAGTTGTACATCTTTAGTCTTTGGTTTGAAATGTGAAAAGGTTAGAGAAGATAAGGGTTCTAACCAAAGCCACAAAAAGTACCAGCAGGAACTGTGCATCTTTTTATCTTCTCAGGCAGAGCAGTGATGTCTTGCAAAAGAAGACTGAGACCAACCAGAAATTTTTTTTAGTGACTCTGTTCTGTCTTTCTAGAAACACCAGGATATATTTGGAAACCACGTGGCAGTACCTGATGATGGTCTTTTTTCAAAGATTAAGTGATAGACTCTAAGTTGGTTTAGAACCACACAGCTTTGTAGGGTGCCTGCTTTGTTCAGTCACTCTGTGGTGTGTCAGGAAGGAAGAACTCGAAAGAAAAGAGTAGTTATTGTGTATGTGGTTCCCCAGCTTCCCCTGAAAGAAGCAGATGGTCGGGGGTCCCAGGAGGTAGAAGAAATGGGGCCATTAGACTGTCAGTGGCTTGTGAAAAGCAGAAGCATCTGCCAGAATGGAGACTTGTTCAGCAGCAGGGGAGCCAGCAGCAGCAGATGATCTCTGCCTTGAGCAGTCAGTGCTGTAGGAGCCCACTGGGGAATTGCTGTTGTGGGCGTAGCTGCAAGTAACCTTGGTAATAATCTAGTTGGTCTGGCAGACTGAAAAAAGGCTAAATGGAAGCTTGATGCTGATGCTCTGGCATCTTAACTACCCACTTTTCCTGTCTGATCAGCCCTGCCTAGAACCAATTTGAAAGTGTTCCATACCCATTCTCCACTGAGTGCTACAGGCACACTTAAAATTCATCAAAATGCCTCTCGTGTTTCTGCTGCAAGTTTCAGAATAGCAAGAGGAGCCACGTTAGATGCAGCAAAGAATCAGTTCAAAGACTAAATTAACATTTGGAGAAAATATCAGAAGTTTTGCTAGGGGTCTTTTTGTTTTCAGCTGTATTGCACAGCACACTCATCTCACACAGCTACCATTTAATCTGTGCTGCTGTAGTTCTTATGCTCTGAGCTCTGTACAGGACACAGTGTTCCAGGAAAGAATGACCTCTTCTGTTTCAACAGTGGGATGGTACTTCAAAGAGGAGATAAAGTGGCGAGGGCAGAATGCCTCTGAGGAACAAAACTGGAAATTCCTATCTGTGCTCAAAAAGAAGAGCCAGCTTGGTTCTTGTCCTCTCAGAATAATTAATCTCAGGCAGCCCCATCTAAGAGCAGAAATGAGGCATACAGGTAATGAGCTCTGGTTCAGAACTCCTCAAGCTGCACTTGTGAATTCTTGGCATAGGTGAATCTGGGACTGTTGCCCATAATACATAATATTCTTCTAGGGTTGACTTCATAGCCAGGAAAAGACACTTTCTATACATGAAACTTGGTTTTACTCCCATGAGAGAGTGAATTATATTGCATTTTGGCTAGAGGTCCACACATTTGGGTATGCATTTGAATATTGATTTAGATTTCTTAAAAAAAACCCTTTTTCTCTTTGGAAATGTAACGTTTGTGTTCTGAAAGGTAAAAATAAGCTGCTGGAGTGTCTCTTTCTAGGCCCCAGGGACACTTCCCTACATCATAATCACTGCAACAGTCATGATACACATGCACTGCATAGCAGATGGACGTGGTTCAGC